CCCCCCCACACACCCCTCCCGCCTCCAGCACCGCTCTCCCCACCTTGTAAAACAAAGCCGGGGAAAATGCCTGCCCGTGCAGCTGGGAGCGCGCAGCCCATCTTGGAATAAGGAGTGAGTACAATGGCGTGTTGGTAAAAAAAAAAAAAAAGAAAAGAAAAGAAAAAGAAAAAGGAAAGAAAAGAAAAGAAAGAGAGAGAGAGAGAAAGAAAGAAAGAAAAAAATAAAAACATCACGTCTGTGTTAAAAAAAAAACATTTTGAATGCTGCATGCCTCATGCTTGCCAGCGCCTCGCGGGAGAGACCCGGCTATTCCGCAGGAGGTGAGACCCCCGGGCACCCACCCCGGCCGCGCGATCTCCGGGGAGGGCGGCGCAGGTTCCGTGGCTCCTCATTTTCCTTTCCATTCCGTGGGTTGGATGTGATCCGGGCTTGGCGCTCAACCCCAGCCTGGATCCTCTCCTAGCCCTGTCTTCTGCTCTTCAGCCGGTGCCTAGGGTTTTTGCGTTTGCCTCCCTTGGGTGTAGATTTGGCGCATCTTAAGACAGTTTCTAGAGAGGAGGGTCAGCCCTGGAGAGTAACCCGCAGGCAGGTTGCACGGTGGCCTTAATCACACTTGTTGCCCATGGCATGGAGGACGCAGTGGTGCTGGGGGAAATAAAATAAAAAGCTCGCTTCTGCTGCTGTTTGTGCTGGGGTGGAGGGGGCACTAGAGGCCAGCGCAAGGTGTACACCAGGTGAGGACTCCAGACCAAGAGTGCGCTGAGGAGAGCGCTGGGGGAGGGGAAAGGTAGTGATGGTGTTGAGGATGTGTGAACAGCCAGCTTCTTGTCCTCTTCACTGTCTCCACTATCACCGAAAGGTGGAGGCGAGGAACTCCACAGTGCCTAGCTGGGGAGGAAAGGGTGCATTTTGCTTTCTGCTTATTTTAAATATTTATTTTGTAATCTACCAGCTTCTGTCCATTTAGTCTGCCAATTGTGCATTATATATTTCTGCTAATTAAATATAAGGCCACAGCTTAAAAGAATTAAACTCCTTCAGGAAATTTATCAGCCTAACACACACACACACACACACACACACACACACACACACACACACACACGGAGAGTGGTGGGGGGAGAGAGAAATACCTAATAGTACCATATCTGTTCTCTCTCTCTCTCTCTCTCTCTCTCTCTCTCTCTCTCTCCCTCTCTCAAGGTGTATCATGACAATATCTTGGTGGGATTTCAGGCTGGAGCTGGGTAAAGGGTGGTGGTTTCTAATTCTCTCAATAAGAAAGCTGCCCTAGGGTGAAAATCAGTGCCCTGGGGTGGGGGTAGGGACAGGACTTTCCTGTTAAAGAGGTGATGCAGTACCTTTCTGTTGTGTTCTGTTTTTTAAGTCAAAAGATGGCTCAATTTTAGATTTTTTTTTCAGGCAGATTCTGAGCAGCAGAGACGAGGTGGGGAGGGCTGGAGCCATTACAGGTGATACTGATCTTAGACAGTAGCAAGCACACTTCCATCAGATTGTAAAAATCCAAACAGCTAACACCTGCCGAAGTGCTTCTTTTGCGTGGCATCACCCTTACAGTGTAGGAAAGGAGCTTTCCAGTCGGTGACTCTATTCAGAACAGGTGCCTGGGTGGCGAAGGAGGCGCTCACACTTGTAGGTGGAGGGTTGAACCTCGCGTAGGAAGCTGGTGATGACCCTCTGGAGTCCCCATGAAGAGCTGCTGCCCATGTGTGTGGGGGTGCTGTATCCCCATGCCTGCTCTGATTTCATCTCTTCAAAGTCAGAACTTCCCCTGAGCTTGGTCGCTTGAGGAGATCCCATCATCTGCCTTCATTTCGTAGCTCCCTCCTTCGTCTAGTGCATCAGATAGCTTTGTTTTTGTGTCTTTTTGGTGAGCAACTGGAAATGTACTTACTTTAGGATCTCACGCTGTGACAGCCTACATTTACACACAGGGTTAGAGAAGACAGGATAGGGAGCTGTGTGTAAATTGATGCTCTTTACGGATTCTAAAGTAATTAGTATCCTAGAGTAATTTCAGAAGCTGTAGGGTGCAATTCCAAAGGGATTTTCATTTGCGTATTGAAAAGTAAATTTTAGATTATGTTATCATTGTTATGAAACCTATATTATACACATGGCAGCAATTTGGCTTATTTTTATAAGTGATGAGCTTCAAACTGGTGTTGGTGTTTAAGCCTCCATTTTTTGACCATTCTGTTAAGCCATATTACTTCACTCTTGCCTCTCCAATCAAATGTTCGGTGGTGGATGGCTTATTTTTCCCATCCACAAGTGGCCATTGAATAGCTTTTGTATTTTCTAAAATGAAACCCATTAATGATGATTTTGAAGAGCTCGGATAAATAATAGATGGACTTGAAGTCACCTCACAGAATCTGGGAGCTCTAATGGGGCAATTAGCCTTGGGCAGAGCATGGTGGGTCGAGGGTGTGAGCCAACGTGCTGGGTTCCTTGCTTCTTGCTTTTGCTGGAACAGTAGAGGGGCTTTGTTTGGTCTTGGCTGTCGTGGCTCAAGAGTTATCAATAACTTTTGTGTTTTAAACCCGAGGGACGGCAGAACATTTCCCAGTGTATTCACTTTGGAAGATGGGCTCCAGATAAGCATGCGCTAAGTGGTGCGTTCCCACCAGACAAATAGAAAGGCTACCTTGTACTGATCGCCATCCCTTCACTGTAAGAATTTTGAAAACCCAAGTAGTGAGCATTCTTTACTCTGACTGCTTATGGCATAAGGGTCTGAGGTGCAGGAGTGAGCCATGAGCCTTCCTCGTGATCAGAGATCCTGTTTAGTACCATCAGCCCTTGGGATCTCAGGACATCTTCACTGACATATACATAATCACCGGCAGAAAGAATTCTAGAAATTAATGAGGAACCCCCTCAGGCATTCTTTTATTTTAACTTCTTGGTCTGACCCGTGTTTTTTTCCGTCCACCTGGCACTCCAATGTCAGCAGAGAGCAGAAGCCCCGCCCCCTCCCTTGAGCCTATAAATGGTCTGGAAGTGTTTAGAAAAGGCTGCTGGGTGAGGTTCCTCAGTTCCCATTAGGAGACTGCCTGAGTCTGCCAACCCGGGCTGACCCCTAAAGAAGCAGCTAGCCCCTTGCATCCAGACTCCTCTAGCCTAACCCAAATTCTCTGTTGTTGTCAGTGGCGGCCCCTGACTTGCTGGATCCCAAGTCTGCCGCTCAGAACTCCAAACCGAGGCTCTCCTTCTCCGCCAAACCCACCGTGCTTGCTTCCCGCGTGGAGAGTGACACGGCCATTAATGTTATGAAATGGAAGACGGTCTCCACGATTTTCCTGGTGGTCGTCCTCTACCTGATCATTGGAGCCACTGTGTTCAAGGCGCTGGAGCAGCCTCAGGAGATTTCCCAGAGGACCACCATCGTGATCCAGAAACAGACCTTCATAACCCAGCATGCCTGCGTCAACTCCTCCGAGCTGGACGAGCTCATCCAGGTAAGGACCCCAGATGAGCTGGGCTCCATTTCTCCCTATGGGGAAGAAAAGACTTGAACACCAGGGTGGACCTCATGGTCCCTGAGAGCATGGACTGCCTTCCCGATGTCCTCATTTCCTCCGCTGCCCCACCTTCTTATCTCTTGCTTCTCCTACTTGCCCTCTCCCTTCCTACTCTTTTCTACCTCTTCCTCCTTCGTTGTTCTTTTCCTTGTCTTAGAACTGACAGGGGTTTACTCGTGATTATGGAGACCATTGCCCACAGAGACGTATTGGTTTGGGAAAGCGGTAGAGCTTTTAACCTGGGCCGTGGCCCTCACCTCTTCCGGAGACTGGCCTGTGGAGTGACACTCTTGAGATGGACCTTCTACACTGTGTCCAAGTTGTCCCCCAATTCCCTCGGCCCCTCGGAGTATAGCTTCATTAAAGGCTTGTTTCGTCTTTGAACCCCAGCTCAGATCAGCTCACTACTGCACAGGAAAGGAAAGTTTCTGAACAAGTGCAGCAGTGTTCATCTAAAACAGTCAGGTACCATCCTTATGGTGAAGCTTGTTTTAAGTATTGGCACCCCTCCCCCCCTCAGATGTGTCTGAGTTAGATTTCTCAGGCATGGCCACATTTTGGCTGTAGGTTTCTTTGATGTAAAACAGGGGTCTTAGGTGACAGGAACCCTTCTAATCCTCCTCCAAGGGGATTTGCTGGCTGTGGGAAATGTTCTCATCGTGTACACATTTATTTTCCTAGACAGCTTGCTTTTTCTTGCTTGGTTTGATTCAAATTGGACTGAAAGTGATCTCTGAGTCATCATTTGAGTGTGTTTTTCCTCATTTTGTGTCTGGGTTTTTATATCACTTGAATGAGTTGGGATAATAGTTTAGAGATTTTATTATTGAATTTAATCCCATGTTTTTTGTCGGGCCTTTGCCCTAGTTTCTTCTCATGATGATTACCCATTCTTCTCTGCCCGGGAAGGAGACGTAGCCTCGTCCACACATGACTGACAGTTGTCAGGGCTGGTGTCATCTGATCCTGAACCCCATTGGGGTCCTGCCACCAGCAGGCATTGCTGCCTCTTTCCCATTTAACTTAAAATTTTGTTCATTTTCCTTTCACTTTTAAACTGCCACAGTCTTAAATTCCAAGAGCGTTGTTCACACGCTCGCACACCGGGTTCTCTGTTACTTTTAGATAATGGTGGACAATGGCGGCACATTCTACGTGAGCAGACAGTCAGACCGCCCGCCAACTCGCTAATCCTTTGTCTAGGGCTACCCCTGTCCCTGAGCTCAGGCAGGTTCCTCCTCCTTTCCTTCCTTGATGCCACCTAACCCCGCCCCTGAGGTACTGCAAGTCTTTAAAGCAGCCCCACTTATTTTGCTTTTAGAAGCTCAGTGTCTGGTTGTGTCAGTGGAGGCCGATGGGAGTGCGGCTCAAAGCCTCAGCTCTGGGTTCAGATAGGATCTGTGTGAGCCCCTTACCAAATCATTTTCAGCATAAGCAACCTTTCCCTTTAAGCCCCAAATGATCTCTTGCAATGGCTGGTGAGAGAATTGCCATCCAGTAAATGATGAGCACCAAGGATCTCCCTCCTGCAGTAGTGAGGGGCAGGGAAAGCACTGGGCTTGTTTGTGGGGGTTATTTCCCCTCCTCATCCGTTTGTTGGGCTGTAGCTGTTGATTCAGGTAACTTCGCCCTCCGAGCTGGTGCCAGGTGTGATTGGTCTTGGGCAGGGAAAGGAAAGGAATCGTGCAGGTTGTTGGAAGCTCAGTGTGGATTTGAGAATGATCTCACTGTCCGACTCTACCCAGAACTCCCACGATAACCTGAAGGTCATGAAAGATGGGACATTCTAGTGGTGAATACAGCTTATTTTTTTTACACATTGTTTTTCTTTTGAATAGACAGAGCTCAAAATATGACCTACTTTTCCCATTTCTGTTCTGCAAGCTCCATCCATTTTAGCCTTATGACTAAGCACAGCTGATTGAGTGTCATTGCTCTTTAAACAATTCTAAAAACAATTTTGTGTTCCATCATTTTTTGGTGTAGAAGTTGCCTATTATTTATCATCATTTCTTATCTTTGTAACTTAATTATTTCAGTACATTTTTACCCTTGAATGTGTATATTTTTGATACAAAAATCCAATGTTCAGACTTCAAGGATCAAGACAAGGGTAAATGACCCTATGGTCATTTATGAGGATAGCGTCCTATCCCTACAGCTCTAGCATTTGGTATCTCCCCATCCTTACTTAGCCCTGTGAGTGGGTCTACTGGACAGTAACATCACAGCACTATGGACTGAGAAAGTAGACAGGGAAAGTTCAGGTGATTGGCCTGCTGACATTAATGGGGGGGGGGGTGTCCAGTCTGCAGAGTGTGGTCTGGCATCCATACTAGAAGGCTCTGCTATCTAGGGAGCTTTATCTTCCTGCAGTGTGGGAGGCAGAAAGAGTAAAAGTGGGTAGCAATTCATCCTGCTGTTTGTGAGAAGGAACAGTGTTCAATACAATGAAACTGTCCTGGTCCCCAGATTATTACCAGACACCCGACTTCAGGCTGTGTTGATCAGGATGGGACGAGGGAAATGGAGGAACAGCAAGGCAGACGGCAGTCTCCAGTGCGTCTGTGCTAGATACACGTGCATCCGTATGATTCCCCTTAATTCCATAATGACGCATTCAACCAATCAGCCCAGCTTTCCCACAGGATTGGCGGAGGCTCTGGACACAAAGTGCGACAACAAATGTCTCTCCTGGGCTGGGATTTGAGAGCGGAGAAGGTATCTGCTTCTGGGGCAGTGCAGTTAGTGTGTCACTACAGAAACACACAGGCAAACCCTGCTGAGTGTTAGACTCACAAATGTTGCCACCAGGCAGAAGTCAATGAACAACCACGAAGTGTGTACATTGTTCTAACTCTTTTATATTCTTTAGCTCGTATAATTCTCATAACTGTTCAACCTAATCATCTATAAATCATTTCTGTAGGAACTGAAGCAGGAGAGTGCTAAATGGTAGAGCTTTAATTAAAACCCAAGTGGGCAGACTCAAGAATGTGTGCACTGACTTCCTGTGTTTGCTGCTGTTTAAAACCCTTTAATTAATGTTTTCTTGGAAGTGCTCTGGTAATCTGTGCATTAGGGTGTAATAAATGTGAAATTGTCATCTCCATACACACTGATGTGTGCGACATGTCTGTGTCTCTAACCTGGTGAGTGCATTGGCTAGATTTCAATGTTCTTTCCAGGCAGCAGAACTCTTACCAGTGTTCTGTTTGAATGCCATAAATCAGGAGACACATAGTTATATTAGACACACCTCACCTTCAGTCTAGCTATTCCATGCTTGATGAATCAACTTTGGAACTTAGAATGTGTTGCAAAATCTATGACCTGTGCATTAGTAACAAACAAAGGTGTTTGTCCTCTAGTTTCTAGCTGAAGTCCCACTCCATGAGACTTAGGTAGAGAAGATATTCCATATATAGGATAAAGAACCATCAGATTTTTATGATGATATTCAATGACCTCAGTCTAGATATTTGGTATCTCCATTGGGACAGTGCTGAATTATCTTTGCATAATTCTTTCCTTGCTGTTTGACTCTTTCATGGGTGCTTATGGGGGATCCTCAGTGGGTTGACTTCTCTGTTAGGTATTTAGCCAAATAAAATGACACCAGAAAAACATGGCTTCTTTTAAGGTACCCCCTCCTGCATAGTCAAACAGGGGCAGTCCCTTTAGATGTAGTTACATTAGAAATGCCTACAGATTGGAGTTAGGAATGCTCAAAACTAGAATACTAAGGAAGAAATAATAAATCATTTAATGACGGTGAGAGAGACACAGAAGAGGTAAAGAGAGGCTGCGTGAGGGGGAAGAAAGGAGATCAGAAGAGTTCCAGGCAGGCATGATGTGGCAGAAGAGCTATCGAGACAAGAGGTACAGGGCCATGAGCAGGCTCTGCGGCACTGACCAGGCCTTATCATTCCACAGCATGGAGGTTGCTCCCATCCTAGGCCTGCCCTCCCTCTGGAGTGGATGAGCCTGGCAGGGTATCTGGGTATGTGCAAAAAGATGCTAGGAGCTACAGGGTCTCAATGTACTACCCCAAGATACGGCTAACTCTGGACTTTTTAAATAAGTGAACATTATTTTTTATTTTGTTGTGTTATTATTATATTAACTGCATAGTATACTTCCATTTACAAATGGCTTTTTGAATGCCTACCATGCAAGGTGAGCTCTGAAACACGCGGAGATTACAGCGTGAAGATTCTTGCCCTCTGTGAGTCTCTCTTCTACTGGGGGTGGGCTGGGGTGTTCATCCATGGTGATAGTGTTCCGGAAGAGCCAAGTGGTGAAGCTAGGTATGAGGGTTGCTAGGAAACGCTGAGGATGAACTGTGAATAAGGTCACTGCGAACCGTCACGGACGTGGTGATTTGGGATGAGGAGGCAAACCTGTCTCAGGTGTGGAGTAGCACTTCGACAGGGGGCTGACCATATGTAAAAGCCCTGATGGAGGCGGGGGGGGGGGACGGGCAGGGGGCTGAGGGGTGCTGGGGAAGATGATGTTGGACTGGGTATGGGAACTGCCCTAGTTCCTTTTCTGTTATAAATTATTCCAACAATAAGCAAATCGGGGGAGAAATGGTTTATTTTAGCTTATGCTTCCCGGTTGAAGTGCATCGCTGTGGAGGGGTCCCAGCAGCAGCGGTTGAAGCAGCAGGTCGCATCACGTCTAAGTCAGGGGCAGAATGCCATCAGGGAGTTCATGCTTCGTGCTCAGCTGGCTTTCCTATTCTTAAAGAGCCTGGGTACTGTTTCTCCCACCTTCACACTGTCGGTTACACAGGCTCCCATAACCATGCCATGGGCTAATCTGACCTTGATAATCTCTTTCCAGGTGACTCTCTGTTGTGTGAAGCTGGCAGTTAAAACTAACCTTCTCAGGGACCGGGCCATGTCCAGCTTCTTACGTTAAACATGAGAAGT